AGCGGAAGCCATCTCTATCACTGGAGCTAAGATACTTGCAACTGGTTCGCCAACCAGGTATCCTTATGTACCCAGTCATACGCCTTCCTGCATTGACTTCGCGGTGCATCATGGTATACCAGATTCCCTAACAAGTATAACACAAAGTTGGGATCTGGACTCCGATCACTTGCCTTTGATCATCAGTATTGTGACAGATAGTACCCATGTGAATCCAAGTCCACGATTAGTCAACAAGCACACTGACCCGCTCGCTTTTAGTCAACAACTGGAGAGCATGATCCCGTTGAACATCACGCTAAATTCTGGTGAAGAAATTGAAATGGCTGTTGATCACCTTACGCAAAGTATTCACAGGGCTGCGACTGCATCTACGCCTTCTGTTCCTCGGACAGGCACCCCCTATGGAATATCCCTAACAAGAGAGGCTAGAGAGCTCCTGACACAGAAAAGGAGACTCAGAAGGCGAGCAATCCGATCTCAAGATCCCTGGGACCGCATCTTATGGAACCGTGCTGCAAAACAACTACGAAATGTGGTAAGAGACCTTCGAAGTATCTTTTTTGAGCAGAAGCTGGCTTCTATGGACTATACGGTGGATGCTGGGTATTCACTCTGGAAGTCCACCAAATCCCTCAAAAGACAACCGTTCAGACAGGTACCCATTAGATGCCCGGGAGGTGAACTTGCTAAAAACGAGGAGGAACAGGCCAATTCCTTTGCAAATCATTTGGAGACTAGGTTCACCCATTACCAATTCGCTACAATGGAGCAGAATCGAGAGACGCTTGACAGCCTAGAGATACCCCTACAAATGTCGCTACCAATTAAACCAATCAGGGTTGAGGAAATTGCCGAAGTCATTAAATCAATGCCAATAAAGAAGACTCCTGGCATCGACAATGTCTGTAATGCCACGTTAAAAGCGCTACCTCTCCGAGCCATCCTATACATGGCGAAAATATTTAATGCTATATTTAGGGTGCAGTCCTTCCCAAAGCAGTGGAAAATGGCAGCAATTCTCATGATACATAAGCCTGGGAAACCTGAAGAGGATCCGGAATCGTATCGGCCCATAAGTCTGCTGTCTTCGCTATCCAAGATATGGGAAAGGCTGATTGCCAACAGACTAGGTGACTTTATTAAGGAGCGCCGTATCCTCCCAGATCACCAGTTTGGATTTCGACAGGGACACAGCACTGTGGAGCAGGTTCACAGACTGGTTAAGCACATTATTCAGGCGTTTGACGACTTGGAATACTGCAATGCTGTATTTATTGACATGCAGCAAGCATTTGACAGAGTCTGGCATATCGGCCTACTCTGCAAAATAAAAAAGCTGCTTCCAGCACCATACTATGGAGTCCTGAAATCTTACCTGGAAGATAGGAAGTTCATGGTCAGGGTCAGAAGCACCTACTCAACCCCTTGCTACATGAGAGCTGGAGTTCCGCAGGGCAGCGTCCTCGGCCCGCTGCTCTACTCAATATTTACCGCGGATTTGCCTTGCCCAAATATGCACCATATGGAAGCTCCCAGGAAGGCCCTACTCGCCACTTACGCTGACGATATCGCACTGTTATACAGCTCCAGTTCTTGCACTGAGGCAGCACGTGGCCTCCAAGAGTATCTCAATACTTTGGCTGCATGGTGCAAAAGATGGAACTTAAAGGTAAATCCACATAAGACCATCAATCCTTGTTTCACCTTGAAGACTCTCATTAGGCGCACACCACCCATACAATTTGATGGCGTAACCCTAGAACAACCTCTGCAGGCTAAATACCTTGGGATCACCCTTGACAAACGGTTGACCTTTGGCCCACACTTAAAAGCTGCGGCACGGAGATGCGGTCAGAGAATGCAACAACTGCGATGGTTGATCAACAGAAGAAGCACCATGACACTTAGAGCCAAAAGGGCAGTATACGCCCACTGTATAGCCCCGATCTGGCTATATGGAGTGCAGATCTGGGGTATTGCTGCAAAATCGAACTATAAACGCATTGAGGTCTTGCAAAATCGTGCAATGCGTGCCATCACCAACTGCCCATACTATGTACGTAGCTCAACCCTTCATCGGGACCTTAATCTGCATACAGTGGAAGAACAGATCTCAAGGCACACAAGCAGATACAGTGATAGGCTTAAAAGACACCACAGCATGCTAGCAAGACGCCTACTCCCTGCCAGGCCTCTAAGAAGGCTTAAAAGAAAGGGCTTTGCCAAAACAATTGGACAGCTTTAAAGACCCCCTCGACGTTTGAGACTCTGTTGTTAGTCTTCCCACGATAAGTGAGAAGTTTGGTTATATTATTTATATGTTTAATTGCAATGTTATGGTACTAGTACTGCATGTACGGATTCGTCGCTTTATAATAATAAACATTTAAAAAAAAAAAAAAAAAAAAAGCAGCGCGTTGGAGGCAATTTTCCTCAAAATATGCATGATATGTGTGCTACACCTTTTGTTATGCATTTGTTGTGATGTCGAAATCTAACCGTTGCTGGCGGCCATTTGCCACATTATTTGCTGTGTTTAAAGAGGTGGGTCGAAAAAATTAAAGTCCAATAGTAAGTGCTAATTAAACGAGTGCTGCATACTCTTAGGCGCATGCTGGGCGGGTGGAGCAAGGGCTTTTCTTCAGCAGCTCACATATTTACACGCTAGTTTCCCATTACCGGGATGTCTTGCAGTCGCAGTGCGATTTTTAATTTGCGTTATACGAGGAGTTTCCTTTTGCCTCGCCCGCGGCTCACATGTGGAAATGCGGCGGTGGTAGGCGGTGGGCGGTGGGCGGTGGGCGGTAGGCGGCAGCGGAAAAGGACAGGCTCAGAGGATGAGAAAGGGATAAGGATAAGGAAGGAGCAGGTGCAGCAGGGCCGTTGAGCAGTGTAGCGTGACATCGCAGGAGCAGCAAATGTCACGCTTCACTCATTTCCGTCCCATGATGTCGACGTCGTAGTCATCATCGTCCTCATCATCGCCATCGCCATCGCCATCGTCGGTGGCTGCTGATGAAGCTCAATGGTTAGTGGCAGTCAACCAGGAGTTTACCCCAACCGCCAGCCTTTCCTGCTGCATTGGCGAAAGAAAAGCACATGACAATATTGGTAGGTGGGCTACACAGAGAAAAACCACAATCTTTGCTCACCAACAGCAGGCAGCATACGCTGATTCAAAAGATAGAAGTAGTTTTGTATCTTAACAATCAAAAGAACTGTTCTCCAAGAAAAACAATTCGCTTGGCACAAGCTCTCAATCTCTGATTTTCAGACATCCTTGACAGTGGTTATAATTTTGCTCAGTGCAAGAAGCTGGGTGAGTGGTTGAATCGGAAACTGGCGGTGGGCACGGGGGCTAGTAGTGGCGCCCCTTTCCCGGCGCTGTCCTCGTTCACGTTGCGGTTCTGGGTAGGCAACCTCTCAGCCGGAAGCACTTGAGAACTTGCAATGGCCAGCGGGCATTTTGTGCGGTTTCGTGCGTCGTTGCCCCCGTTCTACGATCCCCGTTTCACCCCCGTGGCTGCCATTCCCTTGCCCTCTTGCGCAGCATCCTTGACGCCGAGTTCGCGAACTGAAAATTCCCTTCGTTTTCATTATGTTGCGGCCATGTTGTCCTTGCCTCGGCCTCGGCCTGGTCTCCCGGTCTGCTCCTGGCTCCTGGCTCCTCCATCTCCTCCTCCTCCTGTTGATTCCGCTGCGGCTGCTCCTCCATCATGGTTCTTTTCAGAGACCAACCACGCCATCATTATTATGAACACCGTTGTGCCCGCTGGTCTTATATTCCAATTTGTTGTTGTTGCCGCCGCTCTTATTTCTCCATCGCCAGCGGTACTCGCCTTTGTTGTTGCTCCTCTTGGTGTTCTTATATGACCGCCAAGTCTCTCTGTTTCCCTGCATACCCATCACTTTGGCCCGGGGTCAGGGGTATGCTGGTTCAGCATACAGATTCTTTGTATCGCAGTACTGGCTTGACCACTATATACACCATATTTTCCGTTAATAATAATATTAACATTTAAGAAGCCAATATGTTTAATCTAATAGATAGTTTTGAATCTGACTACCACATGCACCTATTCAAGTTACAACAGTCAAGGATATTTACTGCTTCTTTTGCTGGGTATCTGTTAGTCGCATGGCCTGCCGGCTCGTATTACTTCACTTGTTCCCTTATTTTCGTTTATTTTGCAACATTTTGCCGCACTGCAATTGCATTCGCGTTGACAAAAGTCCTGATGCCTTCGCAACGTGTGCCATTTGTGAGTAATAAGAAGCGAATAGATGACTGCAGGGTCTTGGCAGTTCACTTACCTGTTGTGTGGCTGCTGGAGATTGGCCCTGCTGTTGCATTGCGATTGCTAATAAATTCTAGATTTGGATGGCGAAATGCATATGCAAATAAATAGCTAGGCCAACTAACTGGCCGTGGACGCCTGCGAGCGCTGTGAAACAACAGCAATAATAACAATAATCGTGCCACATTTAGATAGCGCACACAGAGAAAAACGCTTTCAGCCAATTGAAGAGTTTAAACATTGGGCCAAGTATGAAATTTGTTTGCCCATCTCCCCCGTATACCCCGTATCCCCCGTGTCCTCCGGCACCCCCGTATCCTCGCCCCCACCCGAAATGTTAAGTTGCCGCAGTCGGCTGCTTATCTCTGTTGCTGCTTGCAACATTCGCTGGGGGCCATTTTTACTTTTTGGCTTTTCGATACGAGAGCCGCTCCACTGTTCCACCGCCTCCCGCGCGCCACGCCCCGTCTTTATTGGTAGGACCACGAGCTGCTGCCCAAATGCAGTTGGCCTCCTGGGCGTGTGGGAGCGTGTGGGCGCCAGGAATGCGATCGTGAGTGGCTTGGGAAGCGACTATAATCCTTATAAGCTGATGAGCTCAAGTGCAAGCACTTAACACAAACAAGTACTTTACACGACATTTTTGCGTATTTCCAATCTACCAAAATTAGTTGGTATCACGTCTTGGTAAGTTGTTATTCATTGTGATAAAAGCTTATTGTTTCCGTTTATAGTCCTTACAATCCAATCCGTAAAGTGCTCGACATTTGTGTAAACGTCGAGACCAAGATGAAGTTCCATAGCTAACGATGCCGAGCAGAAAGGCCCGAGATTTTTCACTCCAATGTCCCCCGCCATACAAATTCAACTTTACGCTCAACGGGCCTCCAGAATCCCCAGCACAAATGTCCTTGCTGTAGAATGCTGCTTGTATCCTTGAAAAAGGTGCTGCCCCAGCCGGTGGCAGTAACGGATTGAGCACTGCGTCCCACTTGACGATCAATGGAAATTGGCCTGACATAGTCTATAAAAAGAGGGTTTTGGTTCTGGTGGTCACTGGAGCTCTTACCATGTCGTTACCTGGGATCAAAGCCTTCTTTGCCAACCGAAGCCGAGCAATATCATATGCGCTTTCGCCTTCCATGCTGAATTGACTATGAATAAGCCGCTGATCGATGTGAATCACTCGGCAACTGGACTTGCAATCCTCAGTAGCACAAAAACTGCAAAAGCACTGAGAGTTGTATCTAAACTGAAGGGAAAATTGTCTATGGGGCTACATACGGCGGCTGATCAGCGAACCGCCACAGAAGTAATTTTTTCCACCGACCACCATGATTGGCGAACCTGTCCGTATCTTCACTTCCAACTATCCGCCGAATTCTCGACGGATGCTTGGATTCTCTCCTTTCCCAATCCCAAGGACTAAGCTCGCTAGTAGCGCTACTTCAGCTATGAAGATCTTCATGTTATAATAACAACTAAGTAAATTGCCAATACTCGAGGCTTTAATGGGTATACTTATGTACATATAAGCGACCATCTATTCATCTATATTCTGAGAACTCTATATGAAAATTTAATCTGATTGAGACTTGAGGTGCCACATATCATATTCATTAGTGTGAGAAGTGTGCGAAATAAGTGAAAAGTATTTGAAGTACTGTACTGTCATTCCCAATGGCTACAAACGTACTGAAAACTATTTTCTTTACTTAATAGTATTTAGCCTTGTAGAATGTAGTACTGCACTTAAGTTGGCTGTATAGCTGATGTCGCGAACGGGTAAAGCGTTAATTGGAAATTAAATCAGACCGATTTGAAGGAGCTTAAGTTCGTGTCACGTTGCCACTTCTGCTCGTGTGCTAACTTGGCCGTAAATACTTTTGGCCTCGCCTGGTGTTTGGCATTTGGTGTCTGCTGTCTGCTGCCTGCTGCCTGCTGCCCAAGTGCCTGGATACTTGGATGCTGGGATGCTGGGATGCTGGGATGCTTGGATACATGGCTGCTGGGATGCTTGGATGTTTGAGTGTTTGGGGGCTCTGGTGTCTTACCGTTCCTCGCTTTTTGGCATCTGCTCTTTAGCCCTAAGCTGGGATATGGCCGCTCGTTGGTTCGGTTCTTCGTTGCCTTATGAAATATTTGTGCTGCAACTTTATTTACAATTTTTTCGGTTATTTATTGTTGGCAATTTATGCTTTCGTTATGCATTTTTCGTTTCTTGTATTTGGTCAGTTCTTGCATTCTGATTTATTGGTATTGGTGTGTGCTCTTGTGGGCGTATATGGAGCCCTATATGAGTGTATTGTCCATATTGAAATGAGCCCACACACGCACACCCACTGTGGTGTGTGTATATTCGAAACCAAACAAGCTGGGAAAGAAGTTTTGGCAATGTTGCTGGAAATTCGAGAAAATTGCATATTTCTTTTAATTGCTGCTGGAGTTGCAATTAGTGGTTGCATATGGGAATAGGTCACAGCCGTAACGTTTGTATATTTTAAGGGTTCTTTTTTGCATTTTCACTCTTTTAAATGATGCACAGAATGGAATACAGATCGATATACAGGTATGTATCCTGTCGAATAAGATACATGTATATATTATCCCTTTTTTCGAGAACGCCCCTGCTTAAACGGTTGCGATTTCTCTTAGAACCCCGAACGTATTTATTTTTCATTTTCAATATTCAGGCTGTCTGCTGAATTTCTGGGCAATTGTTTCTGGCATTGTTCGTTGGGCTCTTGTTTTGGCCATGGACAATCTGCAATCAAAATCAAGGAACTTGAGAGATATTTTCCCAAATGGAACATGACACATTTGTTCTGCTTCAACTGTGCCTAATGACGGTTTTCAATCTCGGTTTTTGTTGAGGATGAGTGAAGATATGATTCGGCCAAGTGCCAGTGAGACGGACGCAAGTTAAATGGCAATTTCGCAGAGGGCCAACAGCGTTTTTTCCATTCCTGCAGGCCAGTTAAATTAATGGACGAACAAGAGTCGAGTAATAAGACATCCTAATGAATGCCTTAAGTCTGCACTCGATTGCTGGATTTGACAGAAACCATATGCAGATGCAGATGCTAATGCTGAGGCTGAGGCGATGCTGATGCAGATACAGTATCTGTATCTGTAAGTGCAATTGAGTGCGTTTTGTGCAGTGATTTTACGACTTTTATTCTCTACGCTGTCCACATAAATTGCGAACTGTTTTTCTTATTTTTAGTTGTTGTTGCTCCGACAGTCATCATATATCAATGTCGTTGCAATTGATAATGGAGTGCAGTGGGTATAAAAATCAAAAGCTGGCCTCTGGGCAAACATTTGATCTGACATTTGTTGTTTTCTTGTCTTTTGTCTTATTTATGTTTATTTACTTAATGCCAAGTTATCGTATTTAACTCAAATATTTGACTAAAATATTATTTCTCATAATAAGAAAAATGCCCAGAGCCTTGAGGTCAATCCCACTGCGCTTGTGTGCGTTTGTCCATATTAAATGGAAAATAATCAAGTCATCACTCCGTTGCCAGTCAATCTGCGTTTAAACTGCCTGTGTGCGGATTTTTGCATTTGCCCCGCCACTGCACCGCCTCCCCGACGGCAAGTGCAATCAAAATTGCAAATACAATAATATGAAAAGCAGAATGAAATCAATGGAAATACCTCAAGCTATGTAAATGGGGCAGCTCCATCAACTGAGCAGCGGTGTCCTGGACATGCACACCGTGAGCCCCAGAGCCAATGCCAAATACACGCGGCTGCCCCAACCACCCACCACCCACCAACCACCCAGCAGCCAAAACTCAACATACTCCCAAATCAGGCTGGCTAAAAGGAGAAAAGGTCGCCGACCTACTCCTGCCGTTTTTTCGGGCTCTTCCTGCTGGGCTTTTGCCCTAAATCAATCACACTGTCGCCCAAATGGGAAATTATTAAATTTGTACAACTGCTTTTTGCTAATGATAAGCACAAACTTACCAAATATTTTCCACCTATATTTAATAGATAATTATACTTACATCTTAGCAACACATGAAAAGGTCAAAAAACCTATTCATAATGGGAGAAGCTATCGCTGTGTCTGTTGCTACCTCTTAAAATGTGTGATGTTGCTTGAGGGCCAGGGTATTTGGGCTTCGTTAAGGATGCGCTGGGCATCCGTGCTCCTTTTTATTTGGCATTGCTGATGGGGGTCTGAATGCTGTGGCTGTGGATGTGGATGTGGATGTAGCTGCTAGTGGGACGGCCTCGTAATCAGCATTTGTGGCGCTCGAGGTCATCCGCAAAGTCTGCGGGCGTTGTCGGAGTCGCCGTTGCCGTCTTCATTGTTGTTGCTGTTGTCGTGTTGCATGTGCCACAGCGGCAACAACAACGAAAGTTCCGTATGACGCCGCTTCATCTTCCTGTTTGCGGCCGTGGGCAAAGTTCTGGGTTGGCTGGAATATTATAATTACAAGCGAAACAGGCCCCAGAGCTCTGCTCTCCTCTGTTTCGGCCCAGGCAACAGCTTTGGCTTGCCTGTATCTGTAGCAGCCTCACAGTGCACTGAAAGAAAATCCTTACACCAGCTTAAATACATGCTTCGTTTGATGAGGCGAAGATATTGCAATGGGGCACGTATGTAAGTCGCTGTATGGTATAAATGCAAATGTATCTACCATTTCGAATTGGCCCATCTATTTCTTTGCGTGCTCACCTGTATCCGAAGCATTTGCAGCCATGGCGACAGCGAGTGGGAGTGAAGGGGTACGAAGATCCTGATAGCCAAATGAAGTCGAACCAGCGCCAAAGGTGTTCGCGCTGACGTTGTGACAGTTTCAGTTACCGTCTGTCTCTGTCTGGAGGAGCAAGTGGGGATGGGGATGGGGGTGTGGTGTGTGGTGCGGCGAGTGTAAGCCGGTTGCATGCGTCTGTGTCGTACAGCTGTTGCCACTGCCACTGCCAGTGCCACAGCCAGAGCCACAGCTTGTTGACTGACTGATGCGTCCGGAATGGCGCTGATGAAGAGCTCTAAGCCCGGCTGCAACAGCTTCATTTCGGCTGAAGTTCGTGTGAAAATTATTGAGATACATTTCCCCCAGCGATGGGCAAACGGTCGAAAACGAGATGTAGCCCCCCGCAGCAGTTCGCCCCCGTCTGGGGCCCTTCTACCGCTCCTCTAAGCGGCGGACATTGGCGATTATCTTGTCCACGACTGAGAAACAAATGAGCGTCGTAGTCGCACTGAGCCAGATATATTGCCCCAGGGACATTTGCCGCATTGTTGCTTCAAAGCAGATAGGTTTCGGTCTGTATCTGTATCTGTATCCGTTTCTGTGAGTGTTTCAAGGTAAGGAAAAGAGTTCCCACATTCACTATATGTGAGAATATCGCCCTCAGTTCAATTGGCATCTATTTTGGTGGGAGCCTTCGAGCAAAGTTGGCTTATTTGCGCCCTGGGAGGGACCAACTATATTAATAAGCCCGCTAATGGAGTACGGTTTGAAAAATAGACGGAAATGATTGTATCTTATTAATACATCCAATAAAATAATAATTAATTGGTTGCCCGTTAAAAGCCTAAGAAAATTTTCAAATAGACGTCATTAAATCTTAATAATCTTAATAATAATATTTCAACAGAAAAAAATTTCACATTATTCAGGGAGATAGCCTTATCTCTGCGGTTAAGAAATAAAAATTCCCAGCCTCCACTTCTGACAAAAGCACTATCTCTTTGCATTTTAAACTTTCCCCTATTTGAGTTTTCACTTCATTTTGTTTCTTATTTAGTTCGCATAGTTATAAAAATGAGTTCAGCCTGATGAGAAATTTGTGAATATTCAATTCTTAAAGTAAATAGTAAATATGCCACTAAGGCAAACAACTTTTTATATATTTGATGAATACAATTTTAGAATCTTTTAATTAAAGTTGGGATAAGTCACCCTTTTTGTTTTATTTTGCCCAGAAGTGAGTTGGATTTCGTTGCTGTCAGGCAAGTGGGCAGATTCCATATCCAGATAGTGAAAGAGGATGGCTGAGAATAGGAAATCGCCCGCCGGCCATTCGCATCCGCAAGATACACTTCGCCCCTTACGCTGCGCAGATACAGATAGTCCGCATTGTTGTGTTGTGTTTACGTTGTAAATGGTTGTTGCAACTACCACTTTCAACTGCCCTGATTTGGGTGCCTCGAACAGGTTCGATGTTCGCTGCCAAGAAGTATCTGTGATTTACGAGCGTCTTAGCCGCTCACAAAAATATTTTCAAATTACACAAATTGTGCCATGCCGGCCAAAGTTGGAGACTCCGGCCCTCGGGGCTTAATGCCACGGATTAGTCGGCCTTGGGCTATGACATTTATCGAATGTCGGGGATGGGGCGACAGGTGGATAAAGAATGGCTATCTACTGTTTTTCCACTTTGCCATTCCTTTGTGGACAATGGAATTTCAATTTGCCGGCGACGGAATGTTTATGCAACACGCGCTGGCAATTTAAATTTATGCATGAGCATTTTCTAATACCACTTAGAATAACAGAAATAATTTATTATTTTTAACACTTTACAATTTCCGCGGACTCTGTGAGCGCTCTTGTGTGTGTGTGTTTGTGCGTGTGGGCTTTTGGTACTATTTTGGCAAAACAACACAGTTTAATATTTGTTTTTCATTTGTTAGCCTGGCACCAGGCGATTCAGGTGGGAAATGAGGGGCGTGGCAGCGTGCAAGAGGCGTTGGAGCGCGAGTCCCATTCAACACTTTGTTGGGGAGCGAAAAAACAGCCAAAATATCCATTTATAAATATTTTACAATAAATATTTCGCCATTGAAATAGAACTGAATAATAGAGTGCGCTGTTGCTATGAAAATGGAAAATGTTTGGTTTAAATCTTCACATTCTCTGGCCCATCAAAAAATGGGTGCTCTGAGCAGACGCATCAAATAGTAGAAACACTTCATCGGCAGTCCAGAGGTTTTCATTTTGCCCAGATACCGGCCTTCCTCGTTCAAATTGTCACTAATATCGTACCACAGGATATAGACCAAGTAAGCCAAGGTGGCCAGCAGCAAGAGCAAGCTATAATTGTAGTGATCATCTGTGGAAGAACGATAGTTGTGAATCTATTCGATTTACCATGAGTATTCTTACCAATCAGGTTCAGCAAATGATGAAACTGCTGCGAAGCCCTGACCCTTAGTAATTTTCCTAAACTTATATTTTCAAGAGTTTCCTGATTCTGGGCTCCAGTATTCTGAGCTGCTCTTCCAACGATTGCTCTGAAGGTTTTCATTGGGTTGTCGGAGTATCTAAAGGATTCCACATCTGTATCGGACTCCACTGGCTGCGGTGTGACTTTGACTTCCTGTATGTTGAGCGCTGTCTGGTTTGTTGGGACCTCAGGAGTTTTTGAAGGCAGGATTACTGGTTGGGCACAAAGGGATTCATAGCTTTCGGGAATCCAGCGTCTTAGCTAATGGGGTAAAAAATTGATGGAAAAACCAAAATTGTTGTTCAGTGTTTATCCTACCTTACGATATGGTTTTGAATTCAGGGGTCCGACCACATTTTCATCATATTCTCTATTTTTTTTTTGATTCTGCGAGAATTTGATCACATATTAAGAAAAACTGGTAGTTAATGAGCAAGTACCTTCTTGTTAGTGCCCTTCATGTTAGAAATAGAGAGCATCCTTTTTCTGTAGTATCCGGCGTCCTTCACCTTCAGACGTTCCCTAACTTTTAAACGCTCCTTTAGATTGAAGGCCCTTTCATCACCCTGACCATTCCGATTCACTGTATCCCGGCCTGAGTCCACACGTTGAGTCCTGCTTTCATCCGACCACCTCTCCGAGGTGCCGGCATCCTCCTGATCCATGAGTCGGAGGGATAGGTCATAGAGGTTCCTGTTCTGCGACTGGGAAGTGCGCTCCAGGAGGCTGGGCAATTCAGGGGAAGCTGTCAAGTGGCGATCCTCGATGCCTCTGACGGAATCGGTGCGAATAAGTCCATTGGGTGCAACTGTTGTGTGACTTGAGTAAACCGAAGTCAGTCTAATAGTCAGTAAGTAGTAAAGAAAGCCTAGGATATACCTCAAACATTGGCTACTACTTACGATTCGGCCACGAATTTCTTGGGCTTGTACAGCTCGACTAAGCATTTGTCATAATCTTTGCTGCGAGTTTCATACCATAAGTGGAAAACATTTTATATTCATGGGAAATCACTTACTGCTTTCTGGGAATAACGTGTAAGCGTTGCATTTTCATCAACCAATGATGTTGTAAAAACTGTAATGACATGAAAATAAAAAATGCCTCTGAACAGGCCCACAGTTTGTATGGGCAGTGAGTGAGCCAAAAATGTGTTGCCGTTTCTATGTATTCGATTTGAGTGTCAAGGGCTGCTGTGCTGTCGATTCCCGGGGGGCACATTTCACACATTTTCGCATTAATATGCAATTAAAGCGAATAGTTGCAACTAGTTGCAGTTGCAGCTGCGTGCGTCGTTAGTTGCGCAGGCGCATGTCCTGCGGCGGTTCTCCACGTCCCATCCTGGCGATCGCTCGGAGCGCTCCTTCAGCTTCCATCTCCGGCTGTTTCCGTTTCCGTCCCGCCCCCTGCACCCCTCCACCCCTCCACCCCTCCACCCGCACAGCTCGCACCCCCGGCCCTGGCCGCTCATCAAAGCGTCTAAGTCCTGCGGCAACATTAACACAGCGAAGCGCAAGGACCTCGCTGCCTCGGCCAGCGTCGCTGCCCGCCGCAGGACAGTTTTTCACGCAGCGACGCTTTTTCGTACAGTCATCGTGCAGCAAAAGCGGTTCCCATCCGCAGCTCCTTCAACTTGGTTCCGCACTTAGTACATAAGTCGCTGTACATAAACAGATAGGCACTGCTCGAAATTGATAAGTAGAGTGACAAATTTATTGTTTTAACGTTTTTAAACACATTAAGCACTTCAGAATGTGGAATTTGGAGTCAAGTGTGTTCTTGTGTGTTGGCTACCTTTTGCAGAATAATCATTCCTGTCAAACACGGCTCATATTTCATATATATTTCCGTATATAATTACTTTAAATATTATACAATTAATTGCACTAATTCTTATCACAAAGCAGAGCTAAGCTAACTAGCTTATTTCTGGAAGCTTATGCCTAAATACTTTTTAAAGAGAAAACATAAAGGCAATGAGTGTGTGCGATTTTCGGTTGTTCAGTTAGTTATATATTTTCAGCATCATTTTAGCAATAGACTCTTTGTGGCAGTGTAAACCTAACTGGCGGCCATTTGGTGTGGCGCAACTAAAATGCAGTTGTTGCTGCTTCTTTCGCTTTTCGCCGTATTTGTCTTCTGCTGCTTTGGAATTGTTGGCGGTTCCTTGCCACCGCCGGCGGCTATTTGAGGCAAGAACTTGGCCGGCGGGCTCCGGCGGACAGTCAAAGCAGCTGACAGGACGCCAGACGACGACTCGACTCCGGCTTTGACTTGAAGAGTTGACTGCTATGCGCTGGCTGGCTTTAATTGCGTTTGATGTTCGCAAAAATGATGTACGTGGGTGCAAAATAAAGAATTCGCCAGTCAGAAGCCCGAGTCCCGAAACCCGGAATCCGAAATCGAATTGCAATTCATTCAATTGAAAGGGGCGGACTTTGAGTGGGGCGGGGCGGCAGATTATTTAGATGCCTAGATACGCACTTTGATTTTGATTTTGTTGCATGCAACTGTCAGTTGCACGCATTTCCAAGCGAATGCATTTGCGCAGAGCTATTCAAAGGGGGTTTACGGTGGGTTGGAGTGGGTGTGGGATGGGTTTTGGAAAAGCCTCGTTTGTTGCGCTTATTCATTCGAATGTTAATTAAATTGTATTTAAACTGCATCGACTTTTGACATATGCCTCGTCTGCGCTGCCTGCCCAGTGAAGTGACTAATTTGATCAGAGAAAAAGTCTCGTTTATGAAATGCACATCCTTTGACTGGCGAATATCAGCATTAATATGAACTGGCAATTTAATGCACACCTGCAGTATTAAAATTCACGTTTTTAAAACCAAACCCCATTAGCCAATGAAAACTTTTGTTCTGCTACTAGTATCGTTATTACATTACATTTATTGTATGTATTACTCAAAACCAGTATAATTCGTTCTACTTGGTTTACATTCATACGGATGAGCGAAATGGCAGACAGGAAACGTCATCAGCAGTGCGGCATGAGTTCCGTTCAATTTTTGAATGCACTTCCTGTCGCACGGGAAATTAAAATGCTGCTATGCTGCGCCCAAGCGGCGTATGTGTTATATGCCCCAATATTGTGCACACTCGGAGACAATGCTCCTCCAAATGGCAGAACCGAATGCCAGATAAACGGCGGCTCGTAGTCACCATAATCATAGTACGTAATAACAATGCCCGGCTCCGTTGCAGAGTTAAGAGTCATTAAGCGTCGTTTTATGGGCATTGTGTGGGACAGAACTCCTCCGACGGCTGCCATCCTGTCCGGTCCGGTCCGGTCCCGGCCAATTGGTATGCATATTTGGCTATTAAGTGCACTCGGTGGGTGCGGGCGAAAGAGTTATCTTCAAGCCACTAAATTGCAGCCGATAAACGCGGCCAAAGCAGGCGGCATTATGGCCACAAGAGGGCTGGGGGGTCAGCGGGGCTGCCCAAAACTTTTGGCTGCCCGGCCATCCTATCAGCTGAAAGAAATTTTAATTAAATGTCGCCGCAAACGATGCGGTAATATGCAACGAGTCGAACGTAGTCCAGAACACCATTACCCATGGGTGTCGCCGTTATGGGGGCATTATTTTAGCGTTCAATATGATTGCTGCCTGGCGGGCCATGCCATTCGGCTCAATTTATCACAATGCTGCCACATTGTGGTGCCGGCCAAGCCGCGCCGCTTGACCACAAATCAGGATTCCGAAATGATCCTGAGCCCGAGCATGAGCTCCAGCCGAAGCCGAGGCTGTCAAGCGCCTCGACTGCACTCAATACGGAATTGCATTTTGCATTTCATGTGTCAGCGTTTTTAAGCGCTTTCACCCCGCGGCACTGGCTCGGTTTGGGCCCAGTTTGGCCGATTGGCGTTCCACCATTGGCGGCTAATTTTGCGCTCAGCTCAGCTATTTAATAAGCCAACAATGTGGGAAGTAATGCGAAAAGAAATGCCAAATCCTTTGGCCCTTCAACTGCCCTGGGTAATGCGATGAGTTGCGATGGCTGCGATGACCTGGGATTGGGAATCGGATTGGGATCGGCATCGGGCACTGTTGGAGGTCACAATCACAGTAGCCTTGCAGCAAGGGTGCGCTTGGGGTTCACAGTGGGCACTGTACTTATTATATGTATACATTAAGCATAAGCATACTTAAATATGTAGTGCTTTTATTAGTTAGAGGCTGTTTTTAGTTAGGTAAGAACTGGAAGGACTCCAGTTCCTTAAAGAGATTTTAAGAGAAAGATTTTGCCTTCCCTCAGCTGGCAGATATCACTGTACCTTTTACACGTTGAGTTCAAAAATTCATCATTGTTGGCTGCTGCTGCATTGTTGCCAAAACCCGCTGCTGCTGCTGCTGCCGCCACGCCCGCCCGCCCCCTCAGCCAGCCCGCATTGCCCCCCTTCCCGCTGCCCCGCTGCTCCTGCAGCACAGCTTCCCCACTTACCGCAAACCGAAACTGACTGATGCCTGGGAGCTACTTTTGGGATGAAATATTATAATTACAAGCGAATGTCCTGCGGCCACGGAGGAGCAGGAGCAGATGCGGGGCGCGCGGGGTACTGCTTCCCCCGGAGGGCCGGACGGAATGGGATGGAGCGACATCAGCCAGGCATCAGGCAGTTCAAATCGCAACTCTCGCTCGCTCTCTCTTGTTCTGTTTCTGCTGCTGCTGCTGCTGTTGCTGCTGTTGCTGCTGCTGTTGCTGTTGCTGTTTCTGTCCCAGTCTGCGCTTCGGTGGGGTTCGGTGTTTTTGCCCTGGGGGCATTCGCATTCGCATGCCCCACCCCCTGGCGGCACCCCTGTTCTGCTTCTTCTTCAGTTGCAACATGTTGGAACGTTGTGTTTATATGGTCCATCCTGCCGGCAAAAGGATCATTTAGATGGCTGCGATAAGCCTTGAAAACTGGTTTCAATGTTTCCAACATGTTCGATGCGGCAACAGTTAGGAGTGGGTGGTTGGCTGGGTGGCAAGGTGGCAACGTGGCTGATTAGTTCGAAAGTGGGGGTCTGGTCTCACCCGTTATTAATTGCAACTGAATGGCTGGCAGGTATTTATTAAGTTTTTGTTCAATTTCTGAAACTGGCATTTTCATGAGGTTTTGCCCCATCGCATTTTCACTCATTTCATTTATATTCATTTAGTGTGCGTCACTCACACACACACGCACTCACACACACATACGCACAATCACACACATTTGTGTCCTGTACGTACGCCTGTCAGCTTTATTGAAAATTAGCCTGCAGTTAATTTAGCATGCCATTAAATTTCTACATGCCCCTTGTCGTTCTCGGCCCAAAAGTAATGCATGCAGATTATAACTTAAATATGAAATGTCACGCATTGACAGGCATTTTTGAAAAGTGTGCAGCAGCAGCAGCAACAGCAACAGCAACGGCAACCTCAAGTTTTACACCTCGGGGCCAATCCGTTTATGGAGCGGAGTCGGGGTCTCCGAGCTGCAGAGATGGATATGGATACGGACGCTCGGATCAGCATCTCACGCCATGGGTAGCCAATGCCACAAAAGGCAGGCCACAGCAGAAACAGGAATTTATGGGGCCTTTTGTATTTGCTCCAAGGCGAAAGTGTTCAGGGGGGATCGAAATTTGGCTGGAGCTGGGGGATTGGGATTGGGATTGGTACTGGGAGTGGGCCTGGAGCTGGTACTGCGCTCGGAAATGGAAACGGGAAAGGTATTTGGACTCGAGATGGCTGGTCCAGGTCTTTGGAGTTGACAAGGGTCACCTGCCAAGTGGAGCATTAGTTTTGTTTCAACTACCAGAGGCCTAAATAGTTTATCGTCTAATCAGTGTGAAGAGCACAAAGAACTATTTGAGGACTCCAATTAACACCCAAAAGGCACAAAAAGACTTTAGCCTGATTTAAAAAAGCGGTTTACTACAACGCACTTGTCTCTGGAAATATTTGTATTTAATCTTTATTCTGTACAAAGCTTACTTAAGTTTATTTCGATTCTTGCTTATTGCTAATACTCTTATTGCAATCACACAAATTCCCTTCCCAAATAGCCAACATTACTTTACTCTCTCCCCTTTGTGCCAAAAAGCGAGCAAAGCAATTGCGAACTATCTGCCGCACTACAGTGGCGCCTCCAATTGC